ATCCTGTATATCGCTCTACAGACAGGAACGTTATGGATTGTGCCTCCACAATTCAAATGCTACTTAACAGACAGTTACCTAACCTAAAACGATGCTGTGACTTCCTTAAAAATGACTCCTCAGATCTGTCTTATTCCAAAGCCCCTCTTTTTATTCATGTATTTTAGTATGATTTGTTTAAAGTATACCAAGGCACCAAGGCTGAAAGTGATTCCCAAGCTTGGAGTTGTGATGAACGTCTAACGGGCTGCCTCCTCACCAGACTGGCCCCTGCATGCCATGCCCAGTTCACGCTAACAGGAAGGAGCCTCCACAGCTGGAAGCCACTTACCTTCCTCTGTGCGTGGTACCCCAGTCACCTGGTTAGACTGTGCCTTGCTATGTGGATTAGATGGGCTGTTGTGCAGATTCAAATCCTGTTAGTACACTGGCCCTGTCAGTTATTGAATTATTGTGTGTGTGTGTGTGTTTGTTTGTTTGCTTTGGTTTTTTGTTTTGTTTTGTTTTGTTTTGTCTCTGCCTAAAAGTATTGTCTCTTTTTATATCTGGGGAGTCCTGAATCTCCTGACTTCGGAAGAACTATATTGACCTGAAAGCTTTGATCCCCTAATTTTACAGAAGATCTAAAAGAGTCTAAGAAAAATGAAGCTGCCTAATATTGAAACACCTACTTAGATTTGGAAAAGAATTTGGAACTCGGGTCTTTAAGCTCATATTACTTTTCTTGCCAGGATGTGAAACCCTTGCTGCTTCCTTCTCTTTATACATTCATGATCACAGGGGCAGCAGAGAACCACATCCCAGAGGGTGGGCTCTGGCATCAGACTGCCCAGATGCACATCTGCCTTCTGCGTATTAATTTGTGGATCGTGATTTTTTAACTTCTCTATTCCTCTGTTTCCTCTGTAAAATGGGCGACATAATAGCACCTCCTTCACAGAGCAGTTGTGTAGGTACAGAATATATATACACTATGTGGAACCTGGTAAGTTTCCAGTCAAAGTTAGGTATTATCATTCAATGCCTAATTCACTCAAATATGTACTCAGTACCTACCATATGACAGGAGTAGCCCAGCCTGGAATATCATCGTTTCATTCAACATTGTTTTGCTATAATATTGATGAGATGTCTTAGGGGCTCAACTCTTGTTTATATTAATTAGCCTATGGTCAAATTCATTTCTATATACATCATATCATCAAGATTCCAAGAACCTATTGCCAAAGTTAAGTGAGGACTGACTGTGATATTGTAGTCACCAGGAATAAAAGAGCTCACAAAAGAGGTATCACTGCTACTGTTATCATCCCTCGGCACTCCACAAAGAAGACACTAACTCATAAGTATATACATATGCACATCTATCGTATAAATTATGACTATCATTGTGAAAAGTAATATTTATTCAATAAAGGGTTTGCAGTTGAAAGAGGGGAGAATGGCCGGGTTCTGGTATGTACAGGTAGGCCCTGCAGGTCCTATTAAGTTCATGCATGTCACAAATCTTGGAAATTAACATCTACTCTCTTAGCAATCCTGAAATATACAATATGATATTAACGATAATCTCCATGCCGAACACTAGATTCCCAGTGTGCAGTGAGAAGGCTTTACATTTTAAATTGCAGATGTTTCTACTGCGATGTAATATGTGAGTCCCTAAAAGCCTTTGCATTCTTCTGGATTCATATTAAAATAGAAGCATTCATGGGCAAGAGTAAGATTCTGTGCAGATCCCCAAAACCTTTGTAGTCACTCCTTAGCAGTCATCGTCCTGATGAAAATATGTGGCAGAATAGGCTATTGATAAACATTTCTGTAAATAGAAGATTCTATTTTAAGGAAAACAGGGAAAGTCATTGGGTGGCAGAGGTCAGTAAGGATCAGCCTACTTAGAGAAAGAGAAAGTGAAAAATGCAAATACAAAAAATGGAGGACACAGCACAGACACGCCCAAAGAGAGCCAAAGGAAAGCACAGAACGAATACGGGCATGAGGGAATTGGGAATCATGTTCCATGCTGTACTCCTCCATGGCTCCAGTGACCCTGAGGCTTCTTGTAATAATGTATGTGTTTCTGCTGCTTTAGGTGACATGCATCTTTAATGCGATGGGGAATTAGCTTAAGACACAATACACTTCGCAGTCTTCTCTACTTACCAATCATTTGTGTGTCGATCCCCTCACATAGACACATATTCTAGTATAACAGTTGGGGAATGACATGGGTAGATTGGAATTTCCAAACTATTGCCCTAGGAGGGAATCAAACTCAGATTTTAGAGGCACTTTTGATTTCAACAGGGAAAGGGTAGCTGTCATCAGACTGGTGACAGTAATGATGAATATAGCCAGATGTCCAACATTAAAAATCTCTACTATAAAAGAAAAAGACACTTGTTTAGAGAAATAAACTTAGGTGCCAATGCTCTCTAAAATCTGAGTTTTGATACCTCACACCCTCAAAAAAGTAGAGGAGAAAAAAATTCATGGAACAGAAAGGCAGAAATACAACCTAATTGGTTCCATATACTAGGCTAAGTTTGGGAAGTCAGACTTCCTCCTATCCATCTTTCCTTCCTCCCCATGTGTCTGAATATGCCTGAGCTAGGGTTGATGTAAATATGAGAAGAAACATGGAAGACACAAAAAGTTCAAGAAATTAAAAGGTGTTGGATGTCCATGTTAGCAATTTAAATTTGAAAACAGATTAGGAAAATATGCACACTATACTTACACAGGGTTATTGAAAACAGTTGCAAATATTCTCTGACCTCTTCAGTATATTGGCACATAGACATGATACAGTTCATCTTTAATATTTGATTTTGCATGTTAAGAATACATTCCTGAAGTGGAAATCACAGTTTGTGATTTAAACTGTACTATTTAAATAGGTGTCGTCCAATACAAAATAATGCAAACCACAAATGTGAACTGCTTATATAACTTTAATTTTCTAGTAAACACATTAAAAAGTAAAAAGAAATAGTTAAAATTCGTTTAATAGTTTATATTTATTTAACATAATGTATCCAAAATGTTATCATGTCAAAATCATGTCAACAAGTAGTAACTGTAGAAATCAGTGAGATATATACCATTCTTATTTTTTATACTAAGTCTTTGAAATTCGGTACATAGTTTAAAAGGAGAGCACGTCTCAATCTCAAATTGACAAATTTCAACTAGATAATCATATATGGCTAATGGTTACCATATTGGACAATATAGACCCAAGATAACTTTTTATAAATATTAATGTTTCAGATTGAAAAGATGCAATAAAATATATACCACTTATGTTTTTGTCAGTATCTAAAAGTCACATTCCATCCAACCATAGAAAAAATACCATATCCAGTTTTATTTCTACTTTGAGAGTGCCCTTATAGAATGCTTTTAGAATATAACTTTCAACACTTCTCATCTCACATTTTATCTCAAGCATGGTGAATTGCTTCCACATCAAATGTGGAAATTTGAATATTTGTGAAGAGTGCATCATATTTTTTATTATATTATATGTAACTGAATAAGCACTGCACTGATTGCAGCTGACAGGTTGACAAAATGCCATGTTTTATAGACATTGAATTAAACATGTATTGACTTTGATTTTAGTTTTCTTGTTTTGAAAGCATTGCATATAATTTCTGGCCTCCAACATTTTTGGCCCTAGGAAACCTCGTAGGCTGTGGGTTTTGTGCCCCCAGTGCCAATGGTATAAAACTACGCTGGCTAAAGACACATTTTTCCCATGCCAGCTTACAAAATATAGGGTTGCTCCTGTTCCTTTAGCTCTCAGCACAGTCGTCGCCTCTGACAGGCTTTTACTAACTTCAGTTTTGCTAACTTCAGTTTTGCTAACTTCAGTTTTGCCATCAAGGTATTCTGTTTGCTTATTTAAACAGCATTGGCAAATTTGCCCTCATTTATTTATTTGCCTATTAACTTATTTTGTTTCTGATTTAAGGAAGGCAAGGATGGTGTCTGTTTTGTTATCTAATGTATAACAAATGACCGAATACGTTGTAGACACTCAGTAAACTTTAGAGAAACGAATGGAAAAAAGTGTTTATTGTAAAGAGACATTCAAAGCTCATTTCACCTAAATGCCAAGTACAGGTTTTCCGTCTGGTAAGAATCCAAGGTTGCTCTGACTAGAAACCATACAAAATAATTCCCATGTATCCAGGGTTTCCAGCATAGCAAGTCTAGAGGGTCATTTACTTTTTTTTTTAAACTTCAATGTTATAAAGGCTTATAAAGCTATCTAACATGTTATCAATCATTTACATTTTATTAATTTCATTACATTTTATTAACTTCATTCACTTTGAAATTTAGTAATGTATTATCATTATTACTAATTTTTTTTTTCCCCTGGAGGGCCTTATGCTTTCTATTCTCTACCAGGGAAATTTTTGCTTCTTAAAAATTGTTTTCCTTTTTCCTTATTCTCTAAATCTGTGGCTCTCAACCTTACCCTGTTTTGTTTCTCCCAGGAGATATTTGACAATGTAGGTATTTTTGGATGTCACAACTCGGTGCAGGGGAGGTTGCTACTTGGTTATTTAGTGAGCAGAGGAAAGGAGGTGCTGCTAAAAATCTTCATATGTACAAGAAAGCTCCCTAGCAGCCAAGAATTATCCACCCCAAAATGTCAATAATGCTGATGTTGTGCAATATTACTCACAGTTCACTATAAACCAGTGACCCCTGTTTTTTTTTTCTTAAAATAATTATTGAATTTTAAAAAATGATTTCTCCTGTTTATGATACACCTTTTGCTTCAGAATAAACAATACTTTTTCAAGTCTGTAAGAAACTTAGTTTATCTAAGTGAACAGGATGAATAGCAATGAACATTTATCAATACAGTTTGTTTAAAGTCTTTGCTCCATTTCTTTAAATGTTGCCAGGTATCCTGAGAGTTTTGATGACTATCACATATTTCTATCATTGTAATATGTCTTTGCTAATCTGTTTTATAGGTCCCTTTAGATGGAATATAATACTACAGAAGCCTTTTCCTCAAAAGGATTAATGCCTGCACTATCATTTCTGCAATAAAACCGAAGACTAAGTGGTAGAAGCCACAGACACCTCCAACCTGGATTCCACAATCCTACGTTAAGTGCTGGAGTTTGTATCACTCTGCTGTAGGAAAGCTTTCGCCAATGCTTACAAGGAACTGTTTATCCCTGCTTCTCTGGGTCCTGTTTGATGGAGGTCTCCTAACACCACTTCAGCCTCAGCCACAGCAGACTTTAGCCACAGAGCCAAGGGAAAATGTTATCCACCTGCCAGGGCGGCGGTCACACTTCCAACGAGTTAAACGTGGCTGGGTATGGAATCAATTTTTTGTGCTGGAGGAATACATGGGCTCCGAACCTCAGTATGTGGGAAAGGTAATGGCCTGTTTCTTTTGACAACCCCTTGATAGCGAGGGGGATTGTGCATGGTGTATTGTGTGTGGATGTTTTGCACAGGAGTTGCCCAAACCAGTGACTAAAACACTGGAAATGAAATTCAAGAGACCTGGTATCTCTTCCTGACTCATTGACCCGGGTAAGCTTTGGAATATCATTCCATCCCTCTTTCCTTTAATTCTCCTTGATTTTCACAAAATGAATGTATATTTTGTTTTGATTTTGGACATTCTTTGCTAAAGACAAAAAGTTAAAATATATAACTACCATTTAAAATTGTTACTGTTACGTTATTGCTCACAGGCATTGTGAAACTATTTACTGATGAGAGACATTGGAAGTAACTCACCAGGAGTAAATATTCTAAACTGTTTGGGCTCCTTGGATGGCCAGGTTGTCTTCCTTTCCCTCCCCCTTAAAAGAATGGCTTCTTTAGGACAGTGGTTCAAAGGATTTGATTTGGCTTGCTTAGGCTTTATAAATAATTTATTTATTATATGCTATGCAAGCTATTTATGAAGCTATTTATGGCCAAAGTAAAAATCGTTGGAACCCAAATACTCGTATGTATACATCGCTGTTCAACACAGCATGCAATATTCTAATCATATTGCAAGTTTATAGAAAATTTTTTTTCACACAATAGTTGATGGCAACTGTCTGTTTTAGCACTTTATATTTTACTGCTATTTTCCTTATATCAAATTTTTTAACTATGTCTAGAACAGATAGAAGTTATCAATTCCACTGGAAAAATATTTTCCCAGAAAAATGAATAATTTATTTTATTTTCATTGTTTTTTTAATTCTGTTTTTTTTTAACTTTCTAAAATATTTGCTATGGTTTTAATTTAAAACAAAAACAAAAACAGGAAACCCAGAGACAATAAAAGGGAACCATAGTAAGAGGGGTATTAGGAAGTTGACATAGATAGAAGATTATGCCTCTAGAACATTAAGTCCTCAGAGCTTTCTGGAAGCCTAACCGAGTGAGAGACATAATGAGTCTTATGGTTACTATGGTAGGTCAAAAGAAGCAAATCCATTTAAGATCTTATTTTTCTGCTCTACATTTTTGGAATTTTCCCTTCGGAAATGTAATTAAAGAATACTGACTAATGTAGTGGAGGGGGTCTCAAGTAGAACCTTTGTTAAAAATGGACATATAGCCAGGGTTGCCCTAAGGTGTTTGAGCTCCCAGGCAAATTTCCTGTGGGCCCCCCATCAATATATAAAATGTGAGTCACATTCCAATCAGCCTTTGAGGACCATCCTGGGCAGCCCAGTTTCTAGTAATCTTGAAAAAATCTACAATGTCATAAAGCTGGATACTAGGAATCGGGGCCTGGTCATGTGGCCTTGTCTTGTGGCCTTGGGCCACCTCTGTAGTTGCCAGCCCTGGAACTCCACAGGGTCTGATGAACTCCAAACCTGAGTAGAAAGTCAAAGAGAGCTGTAATGGACACTGAAGGGAGAAGTGGACCATAAGGCCCAAGCAGTTCCAGTCCAGCCCAGGGCACCCCATGCAGGTGACACTGCTGTCCACAAAGAGCTCTGGACACCGAAAGAGTCTTAGAAAATCTGGAGGAAAACAGTCCAAAATACAGAAGCATTCTGAGGTTTCTTTACATTGCTTCCACTTGTGTGATTTCTCCATGCGATCATGGAATATAATACTCACTAAAACATTTCTGTGGTGAGATAAGCTTGTGTTGTACACATTTTTCTGGTAAGTTAACTTAATATAACAATATAAAGATTGAGTTTTGAAATCCAAGACAAATGAAAAGTAGCATAGCTCTAAAACTGTCTTGTGGGTGTCAGTCTTCTTTTTTTTTTTTCTAATTGAAGTGTATTCGGGTGACAACGGTTAGTAAAGTTACATAGCTTTCAGGTGTACAATTCTGTGTCAGTTTTCTTAACTCTGCTTATGACATAAGCTAGACATGAGTTTCCTCACAGATGTCACATGAGAAAGTGAGCTCTGGTTTTGACTGAAGCACATTCATAGCCTTCAGTTGTTCAAATCTGAGGTGAGGAAGTTGACACTGTATTAAAAAAAATTAATGAAATTGACTTCTGTCCTAAATCAAGTAACATTTGACCCCCCAATGACAAAGTAAAAAGGATCTAGGAGTTGCTTCTGCAGGTTTTGTTTGGAATTCTGCCTCTGTAATTGCTACCATAGCATAGAATTCATCCAACTCATTAAAAAGAGGAATCGATACATATTTATAAATAGATTTAAAAAGGAGGAGATCTAAACTCTAACCTATTATTAAATCAAAACAACATTATTTTCACAGGCGCATGGGTCCACTTTTGTAATGCATAATGAAAACCCATGGTTTCCAGGCAATATATGTTTCTAATGCAAATGAAACAACAGTTGCCAAAATTTCCTTCCTTCACGGAAACTAATTAAAGTTTCATTAACTGTCTTGATGATTCTAGATTTGGGAATAGTAATATGATAACATTGGGACTAATTGAAGCCATTATATGTATGTGTGTAAACATATATACATGTATTTACGCTTTTGCTCTTTCAAGAACGCTTTGATAGAGTTCATAGGAAAGTAAAGTATTATAAATAATATGGACTTCAGGGCTAAGGGAAAAGGCAACTGGAAAAGTGCCAGACACAATGGTCAACTGCACTATATAATTCAGCTTCACATTTAACTTTGTTTCTTTTCAGCAAAAGCGTCTATGAAAAACAATAATTTGTGTAGTTTCTATTGGAAGCTATACTTGTTGAGAAGAAAAATTGATTTCCCTAGCATCAAATGTGAATCAATTTATTCATGTAGAAATTTATGGAGATAGGAGTGTTCTAAGTGGCTTAGTGGACATTAGCCTTAACAATTATTTCATTTTTTAATTAATTTATCGGGGTGACATTAGTTATTAAAATTATATAGGTTTCAAGTGTACATTTCTATAATGCATCACCATATATTTGATCCCTTTTCCCTCTTCTACCACCCCCCTCCCCCCTTATCCTCTGGTAACCACTAAACTATTGCCTGTGTCTATGAGTTTTTGTTTCTGTGTTTGTCTTGTTCATTTGTTGGTTTTTGTTTTATATCCCACTATGAGTGAAGTCATATGATTCTTAACTTTTTCTGTCTGACTTATTTCACTTAGCATGTTGTTGCAGATGGCAGTATTTCACCTTTTATTATTGCCGAGTAGTATTCCGTTGTGTATGCTTATATACCACATTTTCTTTATCCAATCATCTATTGAAAGAAAATTTGGTTTCCATATCTTGGCCACCATGAATTATGCTGCAATAAACACAGGGGTACATATGTCTTTACAGATAAATGTTTTCAGATTCTTTGGGTAGTTACCCAGAAAAGTGATTGCTGGGTCATATGATAATTCTATTCTTAACTTTTTGAGGAGCCTCCATACTGTTTTCCATAGTGGCTGCATCAATTTGCATTTCCACCAACAGTGTAAGAGGGTTCCTTTTTCTTCACAGTTTCTCCAACACTTATTATTTGTCTTGTTGATGATAGCAATTTTAAGGTTGTATCTCATTCATTGTGGTTTTGATTTGCATTTCCCTAGTTGCTAGTGAAATTGAGCATTTTTTCATATATCTGTTGGCCATTTGTATGTCTTCTTGGGAGAAGTGTCTGTTCAGTTCCTCTGCACATTTTTTTATTGGGTTGTTTGTTTTTTGTTGCTGTTGAGTTGTACGAGCTTTGTATATATTTTGGATATTAGCCCCTTTATCTGAGGCATTGTTTTCAAATACCTTCTCCCATTCAGTTGGTTGCCTCTTAATTTTGTTGATGGTTTCTTTTGCTGAGCAAAAGCTTTTTAGTTGGATATAGTCGCAGTCATTTTTTTTTTTTTTGGTTTTTCTTCCCTTGCCTTTGAGGTATAATGCATAAAATCCTCTTTGAACCCAAGGTCCATATTTTAGTACCTATGGTTTCTTCTGTGCAATTTATTGTTTCAGGTCTTATGTCTTATGTTTAGGTCTTTGACAATTGTTGCATTTAAAAGTTGTTGACGGTAATATTGACATCCTTTCAAGAAAGACCAGACTATGATATTGCTTATCATGAAAAGTGCCTTTACTGTATATGCAAAGAAAATGCATGTGTGTCTATAGGTAAAGCCAATGCTTTCTCCTCAAATAGACATTTTGGATTTAATACAACACCTGAATGAAAGTGTACAGTGCCATATTGCAGAGTAACACAGAAATTGATTTGATTGGCAAAAATTTTAATTCAAACATCATTAAATGTTCCAACTCCCCACCAATCAATCCTGTATTATTAATATCACACACACACACACACACATGCACATGCACACACATGCACAAACACACAGTAACCTGGATGCTTACAATAACATATGTAACTGCCTGCCTATGTCTGTCAAGTACGGCTATGTCATAGCCTCAAAACTATGTATCAAGAAAACATTGTCCAATGTATCTTTAAACAATAATTAGGAAAATCAGTTGTCATTTCAGGTGATCTCTGATAGCAGCAATTCTTAAATATGTAGTGTTTAAAATGGTCAAAAAATAAACTGAAACATATATAAAACCTAACTTCAGAAGTATCTGTTTATTCAGCATATTTTTGCTTGGAATACATTACAATTTGAAAAAATGTTATGTTTTGTGGGGATAAATTTAGGTATAGAGATCCCTAGATAGGTAAGCTAATAGGTAAGATTATTTTATTATTTTTTTAAATTTTCATTACCTTTTATTATCTTTTGTGTTTGTATTTTTTTTTTTTTAGTATTAGTTTCTGGTGTGTAAAACAATGTCATAGATATTTCACCCCTCACAAAGTGATAATCCCCCTCCCCCAAACTATTGCCTCTCTGACATCATGTATATCTATTACAATTCCGTTGACTCCATTCCCTATACTATACTCCATATCCTATGACTATATATATATATATATATATATATATATATATATATATAT